TGCCATGAAGCGCTTTAAAGGTGGTAACTAACACCTTAAAGCGCACCCGGAAGGCCACTGGCAACCAGTGCAGCTCGCGCAGCAGCGGTGTCACATGGGAGCGACGAGTCCCTCCCAACACCGCCCGCGCGGCCGCATTCTGGACCATTTGAAGCCTCCGGGTGCTCCTCAAAGGGAGCCCCATGTAGAGAGCGTTACAATAGACATAGATGGCACAATCAAATGTTGTTTTATGATATTTACTTTTCTTTGAACCTGTCCATTTTTCTGTCTACAGTATCAGTGATGAAGATCGAGAAGAGCTTGATACAAGTACAGACAGCAAGGGGATTGAAACAAAGGAGCAAGAAGTAGGTGCCATGACAGATGAAGAAGATAACCCATCACCAAATAACAAAAAAGGTATTTGTTAAACTTTAATTCATTGACTCAGACTCAATTTCTAAGGTTGTCGTTGGAATGAAAGAGTACAATTGGAACTTCAGCATTGCTTCCTTTTCCACCAAGTTAAAGTCAGCTTGGTTTATTTATATGAATCAGTTATTATGTTGATCAACTTTGATATTTAAAGCTACTCACCACTTTGTTTCATTACTTTTTGGTGGTGTTATGTGGTGTTTGGTGGTGTTAAATTTTTCTTCATATGTAAAATATGCATACTGTTGAATAATTTTATATAATAGACTATATTCTTGTTTTTATATTTTTATACTTCTACTGTGTCATCACTTTTTCCCCCTCTGATTATTATCCGATTTATTTAATCTGAAATTGTATGACTCATATAATTGCATTGTTTTCTAAGGCAAAACAATATACAATATTAGGGAAAAAGTAAAGTTGTATACTTCACTGCAATTGGTAGTTCCATTAAAAAGAAAGTATGTTATTCTTTGTGTACATCCATGGTGATTCATTTAATGATTGCTGTAAAAATTATTGTAAAATTGGGTCTGATTCACCTTGTGATTACAATGGAAATTCTGGTCCCAGTTGTAGTAGTAAATTTACCTGTAAAAGGACTTAGCTTTTACTTCTACACTGCCCAGAGTTCCTCTGTGAGGGAGATGGTCAGTTTATTAGATAGATAGATAGATAGATAGATAGATAGATAGATAGATAGATAGATAGATAGATAGATAGATAGATAGACAGACAGACAGACAGACAGACAGACAGACAGACAGACAGACAGACAGACAGATCTATTAATCAGTCTTAGCTCAGAGCCACTTTGCAGAAAAAACTCTTCATATAAAATACCTTTACCAGCTGCCTCCAAAACAATTTTTTGTTGTTCTGAAATAGAATATTGGAAATAAATTATATAAAGTTCCTCAGGACTCTATACA